ACAGAGCCATACTAGAAGACTCTATGGCCATGTTTGTTTCTGCTTCTCCCAGACACGCTTGAATTATAATCTAAGCGAAGATTTTCTCGTTTCTCGCTTTTCGCTTTTCGTAGTTTAAATCTCTGAAGCAGCTTACCACATAAGCGAGAATCGGTGAAAATAAGCAAAAACGTTTGGCGGGATTCTTACTTATTTCCACCGATAAGCCGCTTATAAGCGGAAACAAACATGGCTATAAAGGGCCAGGGCCACCCCACCCATCAGGGAAGGAAAGACAAGCAAACTTCCCCAAAGGCAAAACGGCATTCTCGCGTCGGCTTCCATCCACACCCATCCACACCCCCCGCGTCTCGCTCCGTCGCCCCGTCGCCATGGATGCGATCGACTCCGTGGTGGATCCCCTCCGCGACTTCGCCAAGGACAGCGTCCGCCTCGTCAAGCGCTGCCACAAGCCCGACCGCAAGGGTACGTGCAAGGATCCCCCTCCATCCGCCGTGCCCTGTTCGAATCCGAGTTGTTTTGGTTCTTCCATGGTCAGATCTGACGGTGTTTGTGTGTGATCTGGGCTTGCAGAGTTCACCAAGGTGGCGGCGCGGACGGCGATTGGGTTCGTCGTCATGGGCTTCGTCGGCTTCTTCGTCAAGCTCATCTTCATCCCCATCAACAACATCATCGTCGGTTCCGGCTAGGTTCGTGTCTATTATTCCCTTACCCACCCGCCTGTCCGTTAGATCCGCTTGTTTCGATGTCGTGGTTTGCCGATCTGCGGCGCGCGCTCTTGTTTGTGTGAGTCTGCACGCTTTTGAGGGGTGAATTTGGGTGGTGCGGAGACTGGGTTTGATAAGATCTCGGCCGATCTGAGTATGCTCGTTCACTATGGTTGTGAATTTTGGCCGCTTCGCGGCCTATCATTCGATTAGGTGATTAGGTGGAAACTGGGTAACTGGAATTTACCTCGTGCATGATCTTTGGTCAGAGTCAGGTATTACTTACTAGAAGAGAAATTCTAGCAGTATACTTGTTAGAGCTGTCGATTAGTGCAGTTTCATCCGCTCACATTTTCAGTAGCAGTAGCGGATTATGTAAGTAATTGGTTCCAACTGATTGTGGACTTGTGAACTCAGTTCTGGATATCAGCCTCAAGTTAGTATCAGTTTGTAACTCATCAGAGTTATTTATTTAGATTTAGTACATGATGCAAAAGTTTTTGCTTTTGTCTGAATTGCTGAGGAGAGTTGGACCTTTATCATTCCTCACTATCCAATGCAAGTAATCAGAATCCTACATATGTATTTACGCTAGAACACGTTGTCGAATTGTCCAAGTCAACTAATGGGACCTATTTACGTTAGAACACGTTGTTCGAATTGTCCAACTCAACTATTACCAAGGCAAACATAATTGTACATTGTATAGTACTGGCCCTTGATTTATTTTTGTCATCTGAACATCATTTCTGCAACTTTTCATACTGCAGACATGGTGGTTCAAGCTATGTGATGTATGGCGGATTCCCTCTAAATCTAGAGTCATGACAGTCTCCCCCACCCACCAATAAGGATCTTTTAAACAAAACCTACTGATGATCAATTATGGATGAATGCTTATAACGTGGATGTATTTTCGCCTAAGGGAGCTGAGTAGCTGATAGTTCATCTCTTTGATAAAATTTTGTTTTGCCTGCTTCTGTTTTGACGAATCATGATTAAGTGAAAACATCACCATTTGAGGGACAAGCTGTCTTCCTAATTATTTCTATTAGGGAGTCACATGTCCAACCTTGTCATGCTGCTAGAATTTTGAATTTATTGGGACAATCTGCTTGAAATTTGAAACACTGTGATTCTCTGACTGTATCTTACCATGATTGATGGCTTTGTAGACATGATCAGTCTTGCTACCGACTACCGAGTAAAGTATACGCTCTGTTACCGATGGCACTACAATAGAATGTATCAAGTGTTTCTGTTTGAGGCCACATGTAAATAGAAGCAATGCACAATTCGAGTAGCTAAGTGTTAATTTCCTGTTCTCATTACAATGAGTGTGCTAATAACTTCTCCAGTGTTTTGTGCAGGCTTACAGGAGTACAGGACGACTAGAATGGGATTAGTGTGATACTTAAGAGAGCAATGGATAACGAGGATCTTGGTCTTTCGAAATAGTATTGTTAATGAGAATTGTTTTTTTTTTCCGGTTGTTTCTGGAGTAATCATTGTACTGTAAGACTTAAGGATGTCTTGATACCTGATTCTGAGTAGATCTTGAATCCTTGATGAGGCAGTCTTTCTTCTTGGAAAGAAAGTTTCATATTTTGTTGTTCCGTTAAGCTGTTTTTGTTGCTGTCTACAGCTCTCTTCGTGATGGTAAGCACGATTTGGTGGGTTTAGTGTTCTAGTATATCTGTGGATTGTCAGCGTTCAGAACTTAAGCTGGACACTCCTATCTTGGTTTCTTAATCGGGAGTGTTAGTTTAAGCTGGACACTTGGTTTCTTAATCGGGAGTGTTAGCTTTTGGTGTTACGTCGGGTCGGGCTTGTTACTAGTCTAGACTAAATTAGTCTAGATTAGATAGGGTTGGTTAGCACAATTAGTAGGCTTGGATAAAAAAAATTAGCCCACCTAGTAGCTCTGAATTAGGGCTAATTTTTAGTTAGCTAATGCAGAATAGAAGGCAGGTAGCTTTTGACATGGGATGGCAGACCGTAGACGTTCTGCTGTTGAAGAGTATCGATGGAAGGCATGTCGCTTTTGACGTTGGATGGCAGACCGTAGACGTTCTTCTGTGGTCTCAGCAAAAAGAGACTGTACTACCATTGACACAGTCTGCTACCAAATAAAGCAAAAATTGGCAGCCGATGCTCAAAATCGATCGTTTCGCCCTCTAATTGACCTTCTGGCATCACAAATCCACCTTCTAGGTGTCCTCAATCGCAAAAATTAGAGAAACTTACCCAGATTTTCTTCTTTGCACTCACCCACGGATGTAGCTTAACTCTTCGGTCGCTAGGCTTTTCACCTGCAACATGGTGTGGATTGGGCTCCATGGTTTCGATTGTGTGCTTGATTGGTTGGGACCCATGTAATCCCTCCACTTTTTGTCACGTGAAACCATCGCTCTCTCTATGGGTCTCTCTAACACTTTGAAAGATCACTATCGAGTATGACATCGAAGGTAGATGCTGATGTGAAGGTTAGGGCAACACTACACCATGGTCAAGTGCCCAATAGGGGAAGAAACAACAAATTTTTGTAAGGAAAAAGTTGCACCTTGGCTCAAGTCTTCGCATTAATTGAAGAAGAGACGAGGGTTGAAGACAAGCATGCGGCAACCCTAGGATAGATTAATGAATTTGTTTTAGCTTGAGTATGTGTTTCCTTCATCAAAATGTAATCAAAGGGTGTAAAACTTGTCTTGCTCCCGTTGTTGAATGATATGGCAAAACTCCGGGTAACTTTTCCAAAACAAAAATAAAAACTGGCCAATGTGATTATGTGAAGGCGTTTGGGCGACTATTGTCTTGGCGTATGATGTAGAATGGTTGTTTGCTTTCAATATACTTCTTTTGTTTCAAATTATAAGTCGCTTTGATTTTTTTGATACATCTATTTTACTATGTATGTAGATAAATAATATATCTAGATATATAGTAAAATGAATGGCTAAAAAAGTTAAAGTAACTTATAATTTAAAATAGACGGAGTAGATAGAATATGAATACCGTACCGGACGTCAAATTTTACACAAGAAAGCGGCCCTAGATGTCTATCCAACCGCCCAACCGGACCTTAGAAAATGACGACCGGCTCACCCACACGGCCACACGAACAGGCCTACCCCATTTCGTGACGGTCACGTGGCACGGCAACCTTTCACCGACGTGCCGGCGTTGCACTGTTGAAAGTTGTGCATCCTAGGAAATCGCAAGTGCGCGCAGCACGTGCGTGGCTGCTGCAAATCTCTACAGCGCTTTGTACGTATGTGTACAGTGTACTGTACTCGGCATTGGAGAAACCGAGGAAGGCAACGTGTATACGTACATACGTACCTGCACTCTGGCAGAGTTAGGCGCTTGCACACGTCATTCCTGGCGCTCAAAGCCGTGAGGTGATACCGAACGTCCACAAAGAAACAGGCGGAGTGGCGGACTGACAATTAGCAGTTCTGGACTTGATTTTTTTGTAGGGTGCATGCTTCCCTAATTGACAAATGAACGAGCCCATGCGTGCATGTGCATCTCGATGAGCACTTGGGGCGCGTTTGGTTGGTGGACTGAAAAACCTGTTTGGCCCAGCCAGCCATCCTAGGCGCTGCGCCCGAGTTTGGATGTTGGGGTTGGATCGAGCTGCTTGGCCGGGCCCTTCGCGGCGGACGCGGTGGTGCTCGGCGGCGGCAGCCTCGGCCTCGTCGTGGGCGCCTTCCTCGTCCGTGCAGGCCGCTAGCCTCCTCCGCCCCGCCACTCCGCTGCCAAGACCTGGAGGCGGCATGTGCTGCGGCAGGTGCAGTACGACAGCCCGCGGCTGACTGGGACGGGCCCAGCGGCAACCTCGCTGGGTGCCTGCGCCCGGCGGCGATGACTAGGCGGCCGTAGACTACTTCGGGACCTGCCTCTGGCAGTGCGAACGAGCGAGCAACGGTTCTCTCTTCTGTGCCGGCGAACAGTTTTATTGGGTGAAAACTCTGGCGTCTTGATTCGGGCCGCTAGCGGTGGTACTGCCTGTGCCACCTACGATTTTTTTTTTATTTTTAATACTTTTTTTAAACTAATTTTAAATCTGTTTTATTTTTTCAAAACTAACATTTTTTGCCGCGCCTATTTGCACGGCGCGGCGAAACGTCTGTGCCGCGCCATGCATGATGGCGCGGTGAGAGATATGACGTGACGATGACTGGGACGCTGACCGGTGACGTGGTAGAGTCTGCCGCGCCCCCGATCTTGACGCGGCGCAACCGCACCATCCCTCACGACGCGGCAGTCCCAGCTATATCATGTACTCGGATGGGATCACTTAAGGTACCGGACTCAAGTCGACTCCCGCCAATTTACCGATACTATGGAGGGAGACGACCGGAGGGCCCCGCTGCTAGGTTCCGGCTCCGGCGCCGCGACTCGGCGCGGTCGCTGTGCAGCACCTTCATGTCGCGGCTGCCCGACAAAGTACACGCCGGGCTCAACCCGGAGCGCCTCGCCGACCTCGACCTCTCCCGCGCCAAAGGCCTATCCCAAGGTAACAAAACTTGCGAGCTCTGATCCCTCACCCTCATCGGTTCATCCCTCCTACCCTCTCCGCCTCTCGTGCGTGTAGGTGTGAGAGATGCTAACGTACCTCGCCATGAAGCACGACCCACGAGTGAGGCGGGTTGACACTGTTAGAGCTTACAGCTTTGGAGCTCTCTACTTTGTTGAGGTCAGTTAACAACTTAGCATTAGAACAGCAGTATGAGCACCATTCCTTCTCATCTCCTGCTACTAGTGTGGTTGATCTTACAGTATAATAATCTACTCTTGGCCACAACGCAGGTTGACATTGAACTCTCGGAGGATATGCGGCTGAGAGAGGCACACACCATCGGTGAATCGCTGCAGGAGAAAATTGAGAAGTTGCCTGAAGTCGAGCGGGCGTTTGTTCATATCGATTTCGAGAGCACTCATAATCCTGAGCACAAAGTCAGGAGCAGGCTGCCGTCTACTGATCCCTGACAGATTTCCGCATGCCCATGTAGTACATTGTTAGGAGTTAGCTAAATAGCGCGGTGTTTTTCTTCAATGGTTACATGTAATAATTCCCTTCACTTCACCTGTAAAATAAAATATGAGCATCACGTATTCCTCAATGGAATAAAATAATACAGGATTAACTTTTCCAGTTTACTGATCCTAATCACGCTTCCGTAGTCGAAGACCATAAATCTCCGTTACATTTGCAATGGCATGTAACATCATCAAAGATTGGGTCGGGTTATAATAGCTTCACTATTGGATAAAATCTTACACGCATAACTTAAGAACGCCTGGCAGCTTTCAGTCATTACAAGTACTCCCAAGTTCCAGGCAGTTACCACATCACGTCCAGCAGGCATACAGATCTAAGACAACCCTCACCAAACCTTTCAGCTTGCTAATACAGGCAAGGACCAACAAAATGTAGCTGCGCTTCATCTTCAGATTCCAGAGGGGGGGGCAGCAAAAAGATCGTTCACATTACTGGAATTAGCTGGCAGCAGCAACCATAGCCGTGCGAGCATCCGTGAAAGTTGAGATCAGTGCGCCCAGCTGCAGTTTATCGTTGCATGCAAAGTTTAGCCTGTACCTGCATATCAAAGACAAAAGCCATAAATTATGTTGCTAACAAACAAAAAAAATTGATACCAGAAAGAGTTATCACAGTTCTCCCAACTGATCATAAGCTCAATCACAGGTCACTATCTCAAACATTGGAGTGAGCTTTGTTAGTTATTTAGGATCACTTTAGGAGCGATCTAGTCGGGTACTTCATATAAAAAGGGTAGCATGTCCTAGTACTAGTTCTAGACTGAGAGACAGAGATGCAGAGAGAGGTGGATGGGGTCTGACGAACCTGACACCGCGGAGGGGTTACATCCAGAGGCCTCCATTGGGTTCGTTGGTGAAGTCTGCGCTAGGCAGCGACGGTCGGGGAAGACGAGGCATCGCAGTGGAGACCGGGGTGAAGACCGTGATGGCGCAGTGCAGTGGCGGCGGCGGTGCTTCTCGTCACTGGCCGTACCCCTCTGTTAGATCGGAGTAGGGTTTGCAGGTGGGGCGTACGGCTCAGGCCAACCTCATATTGAGAGCCGCCGGCCCCCACCTCTATTTAATGCGCAGTGTGACGGGGGCTCGCCAGCCATAGATGGACTGGGCACCCCCGATCAGGGCGCGAGATCAAGGCCCAATTGGCCGTTGGGCCACTGTAGTTGGGAGATCAAACTAACATTCTCCCCCTTGATCTCAACTCATACTTTAACTTTAAACTTTGACTTTAATCCCTTTCACTTTTATTTGTTCCATCACAGATTAGTGCATAGAGCATGCTTTATCGTCACGGTCAATCGCCGATAGATTTAACAGTTACAATACACGTCTCTATTCTGAAACAGATTCTTTAACTTTGGGCTCTTTATTGTTCGGAAATCATAGGCTATACCATAAAGCCATGTCGACCGTGTGTTCTCTGAACACACTGGGTGGTAAGCCTTTTGTACGCGGATCCACAAATAGTTGCTTGTTACTTATATGTTCGATACTTTTAGTATGATTCCGGACTTTCTCCTTCACAACGTATAACTTTAACATCAATGTGTTTGGCAGCACACTTGACCCGTTGTTATAGGAGCGAACTATTTAAATGGTTATTGCTGTTGTATACCATTATCAATTCCGGGTTTAAATTCTTTTAATCATTTCGTCTGTCCTTAAGCCTCATAACAAGCTATACTATGGGTATGCATCTTTGATGACACCACAACTGTTTCTTTGGAGTTTTTCCACAATAAAACTTCAACTGTGAGTGTTAGCTACTATGTGGGTTTCACTGAATATCTCGTCAAAATTTAACATTTGTACCCACAACTATTTGAGAGTATTTATTCTTTCTTACTCACCATGAGGCCTATAAATCTCAACTCCATTCCAGTGATCTATATCTGGACTCGACTTCTGCCAAAACATCCCGGATACATGAACTATGTCAGGGTAAGTTCTTACTTATAAGCACTCATTAAGCTTCCAATAGCTGAAGCATATAGGACGTCCTTTCGATCTCACATTGGTTCTTAGAACACTGAAAGTTCCCAAAACTATTACCCTTGACTATAGGAACAGACACAGGTTTATTCACATATATACTTTATTTCTTTAAAATCTTCTCTCGGTATACACTTGAGATAGTTATAATACCCTTTTCCTTTTGTCTCGGTAAGTTTCAATTTCTGGAACGAATGACGCTTTACCAAGATCATTCTCATTGAAAGTTGAGGACAAGAACTGCTTCTTCTCCAACAGTAGATTAACACCACTACTAGCGAGCAAGGTGCTATCCACGTGCAGGATTAGGGAAATTAAATTTTCCATGTTTAAACTTTGCATAAACACAATTGTCCTCTACATTCTCTGTAAACCCAAACTTTCTTATTGTACTGTCAAAATTCAAGTACCAATGTCTTGAAGCTTGCTTTAATCCATAAATTGATTTCTTCAGGCAATATCCCTTACGTTCTTTTCCTTCCACGACAAAACCTTTTGTGTTGTGCCATGTAAACTTTCCATACAAACCCCGTTGAGGAATGTGTCTTTAGATCCTTCTGATGTGACTCTAAATCGTAGTGTGCCATTAACGCCATTATGATTCTAAAAGAATCGTTGCATTCTCATTATAATCTATTCCTTCTCTTTGTGTAAATTATTTCGCCACAAGTGGTGCTTTATAGCTTTCCATATTCCCTTTGAATATCTTTCTATATTCCCTTTGGAGTCACATTTATCCTGTAGACCCATTACAGCCTACTGTTTTAGCTCCATTGGGAATTTCTTTTAAGTCCCAAACATCGTTGGTATTTATCGATTTCATTTCATCTTCCTTTGCTTCTTGCCATTTAGACGAGTGAACGCCTCTCATGGCTTTTTCAAATGAGGTGGAATTACACTCAATTTGAATTTCTTTCTTAACATTGACTCCTTAATCATAAAAAATATCTGATTTTCTTATTCTTTGAGACCTTCTGGGGCCTCGTGGCACTTCTTTCATATGGGGCTATTGTTACTCTTCATTGCCAAAAAGCAATTGTTCTATAGCCTCCTGTATCACAAAATCTTTGTTTACTTATTCATCTTCTTTAAGAGCTAACATCTGGTGTTGTATATGTCATACAACATCAGCATGTATAAAGCAATTTGTTGCTCTAAAAACACTGTAGTGGATATGTAATCCCACTTCTATTCAAGCCTTAGGTATCTACATACCATGCTCCCCCAGATTACTCCATCTTCTGTAAAGTGGTGTATCATCAAATTTCTTATTTTGGGTTTAATCTGCTAAAAAACTCATATGGCGCGTTTAGCACCGCCTTGATAACTCTGAACTCGTCCAGTATGAATACTAGCCTACTATGCTATCTTCCTATCGGAACTGTAAAAGGTCCAGAAACTTAGCTATTTCTTTACTTTAGGGGTATCGTTATTATGACCGTCTTACTCCCTCAATGATCACATTCATCTTTTATAGATCACTTTTACCTTCAATGCATAGTATGTATTGCATTATCTGAAGTATGGGGAAGTATCTTTCTTAATTGTCTTTCTTAATTAATCTTACATTTCTCCCCCTCGAAATGTAGTATGAACTTTTCTACCATAATTTCGAAACATTCAGAACTCTTGTTAATGAGAAAACTTTGATTACTTACTTCATCCACATGATTACATCATGCAAACAAAATTCGTATGGGAGTACATTTTCCTCGTTACACTTCAAAACTCAACATAGTCTATTATTATCAATACTTCTGCAAGTCACCCTTGCATATCATTCTTATCTTTTGGTTCACATGCAACTTTCTTTTGTTCTTAAACTCATTGAGTACTTAATGACCATAACACAATCAGAGTGTACGGTCAATACTAGGATAGCATAAGAGCTACCCCAAACTTCTCTCCATGTGTAGGATACACTTAGAGCACATGAGTCATCACATCCTTCTCCCGCCATGCGGGATAAGTACTATGCCAAAACTCTCCCGCCATGCAGCATTGGTTAACATATGTACTATGCCAACTTTACCCCGTCTTGCGGGTATTTTCTCAAACTTTTCCTGCCATGCGGGTACTATCACAAACTTTTTCTGTCATGTGAGATAATTCTCTTAAACGGACATAAATGTCAGGATTGGCTCGTGTTCAATCATCAAATTCAGAAATAAATCCGAATACTCTTTAACACACATGTTTATGTATATGACTTTTACAACTCTCATAAGTAAAACTGAAAATAAATTCTTCTTCACAGAGAGTACATAAAAGACATTTCTCAATAAAGACTCTCATTGATCTATCTCTTTTTTTGATCAATATCCTAGAATTCTTTTCTTTTGAAGCCATTCTTTAAAGAGAACACAGTCCCTTAAATAATGGCATTCTTTCAAACATAACTTGCCCTTAGGCATTTCATCATCTGAGTCACAAGTACCCAGCTCATTTCTCTTACTGCCTTCAAGAATGAAAGCATGGAGGTCTTTTGTTTGAAAAAAATATTCAACAATAATGCTCATTAAACTTTGAAATCTTTATGTTCTATTCTATATCACCGTTGGGCAGAAATAGAATAAAACATCATTCTACTATATTAATTCCACATCACCGTTGGGCAGAAATGGAATTAATGTATACTACCTCAATAATCTTGAAAACATAGAACTGCTCCTCAGAATTAAATTCTCCTGTTGGTTCGAATTTAATTAGAAGACAATCAACTTCATTGCAGCGGAAACATGAAAATACATTTCTCTAGTTTAAGAGCATTCCTTGATCTTTATCTTTTCTCTAAAAAATTGGTCACTTTGATGCAAAATTCATCAGAGATTTAAACTTTAAACATAGAACTCATAGAATTATAATATTGTTATCATCAACGTTGGTCAGAAAATAACAATACCATAATTTAACTTTAACTATCAACCGACTATTCCTCCAATTAAAATTTTCCCGTTGGTTCTAATTTTAACTGGAGGATTAACTTTTCATCATTTACTGAATAACTACAACTGCTCTTAAAATTAAATTCTCCTGTTGGTTCAAATTTAATGAGAAGATAATAAACTTTAACTTCGCAGCGGAAAAAAGAACTCATTTTCACAGGGAAAAAATAAATACTTTTTCTATTTTCTTTTGAGCCAATTTCCATTTTTCAATAATCTGTAAAAAAGAAAGAAAGAAAAAACAAAAAACTGGCTCGCGGGCTCATTCTGACTGTTTTGGCCCAAAAACCGGCAAAAACCGGCTCGGCCCACACCTCTGCGCGCGCAGGCATCACCCAGGCCGCAACCTAGGCCTAGACCGGCAAAGTCGCGCTGCCGCGCGTGCCCGCCTGGGCTGCGAAACGGTCTGATCAATCTTGGTTGTCCGTGCCGATCCGACGGCCGAGCGGCGATATCGCGCGAATGAAAACGCCGCTGTGGCCGCCCGATCAGAAACCCTAGTTCATTCGTCTCTGTGCTCTCTCTCTCTCTCATCGCCGCTCTCTCTTCTCTCCTCAGCGCAGCGTAGCCGCCACCGAGTGACTCGAGCGGGCGAAACGGCGGAGAGGGCAGCCATGGCGCCGTCGCCGGCCCCCTCGCCGGCGTGCGCGCTCCCCAGCGGGTGAGCGCGCCGCCATCGAGCGGCCTGGCCGCGGTGCTTCTTTGGCCGAGCCCGGGCGGACAGCTCCCCCGGTTCGGTCTTCTTTTCCCCGTGCACCGTTCTGCACAACGGCGAGGTAGTCCCTCTGGGTTTCCCTCTTCCCCTTCCCCCCCCTTTGGTTCTTGTTGCTCTTCTCGGTTTTGACCGATTTGGATGGGATTAGGGATTAACTGTGTTAGGGTTAGGGTTTCAGGATATCACTGTTTATCTTCCCCAGAGGGACTCTACCATTTTAGGGTTCGGCATAGACGTGAAACCAAGCCCTCCAGCTTCTTTCTTTAACCCAATTAGGGTTAGGGTTCAACCGAACCCTCTTCTTTTCTCATTTGCTTAACCTAGTTAGGGTTAGGGTTCGGCTTTGAGATCCGAGACCCCTCTGTCTGTTCTTTTCTCAGATCCGAATGGATCTAGTCTATCTTTTCTTTTCTAATCAGTTTCTTGCCCCTGACAAGATCCACGCCTAGGGAACTGGCCCTGATACCATTGTTAGTTATTTAGGATCACTCTAGGAGCGTGGATCTAGTCGGGTACTTCATATAAAAAGGGTAGCATGTCCTAGTACTAGTTCTAGACTGAGAGACAAAGATGCAGAGAGAGGTGGATGGGGTCTAACGAACCTGACACCGCGGAGGGGTTAGATCCAGAGGCCTCCATCGGGTTCGTTGGTGAAGTCTGCGCTAGGCAGCGACGGTCGGGGAAGACGAGGTATCGCAGTGGAGACCGGGGTGAAGACCGTGATGGCGCAGTGCAGTGGCGGCGGCGGTGCTTCCCATCACTGGCTGCGCCCCTCTGTTAGATCGGAGTAGGGTTTGCAGGTGGGGCCTATGGCTGAGGCCAACCTCATACTGAGAGCCGCCGGCCCCCACCTCTATTTAATGCGCAGTGTGATGGGGGCCCGCCAGCCATAGATGGACTGGGCACCCCCGATCAGGGCGCGAGGTCAAGGCCCAAGTGGCCGTTGGGCCACTGTGGTTGGGAGATCAAACTAACAAGCTTCCCTCAAAAAAAAGAGTGAGCTCTTAAGTAATCGCCTTTTTTAGAGCTTAGCCTGTCCCCGAGAACAGGAGCCTCCAGACCGACGACATTGGTTATCTCATCAAAGTAGTGGTCCTGAATGGCACGTGTACAGGTGAATTTAAATGACAATTTTGATGTCGATTAAATCATGTATTCAACTAGTAACACAGTGCAACACAAGATACCTTTGCATAAGCCCGGACAATACTATTCCCCGAACTCTTGCAGTAGAGCCAGAGAGCAAGTTTCACAGCAGTTGTTGAAAGCATGATGGAGTACAACCATATCAGCTACTCTGATGTCATCTTCTCGCCAGGTTCGTTCTCCACCAGCTGCTCAACATCTTGTACCAAGACCTGGAAACCTAATAATTGTCGCAGAAACTCGTGTTCATCATTTCTTTCTACAGACACTTCCGAATTGTATTTGTTTTGACAGATAGCAAATGTGATAACATTTGTTGACAGGGGGTTAGAGGTGGGGCCCTGCTGAGCCAAAGCAGAGATGGCACACCTAGAGTTGCCATGATGGCCGCGAAGACGATGATCCCAACCGGCTGAACATGCAGCTTCCCAATTGGGTACTTAATGTTGACCCTCTTCATGGAAAGGTGCGTGAACCACAGGATACCCCCGGCCATGAAATCCAGCAGCGAGTCAAGCGTGGACGCCGCAATCGCCATGGACCCCGTCCTGATCGTTGCATACACCTGCGATTCTCGCAGCCGAAATGGATCAGCACGCAATCGCGCCCTCTGTAGTCTGTAGTATGTATCCATTTTCCACTCTATGACTGCTCCACCTGACGCCTGAACTCACTCACCTTGAAAACCAGCAGAACAATATTGGCGTAGTTGGAAATCTTCATGGCGAACTCGCTCTGCTTCTGCTCCGTATCCTCCGATTGGGAGGCCTCGACATCCGAATCGAACTCGCCCGACATGCATCGCGCCTCCACCTGCTCAAAGGTTCTCAGGGTCGCGGACTGCTTCTCATAGTACTCTCTCACACCTACACGCACGAGAGGCGGAGAGGGTAGGAGGGATGAACCGATCAGGGCAAGGGATCAGAGCTCGCAAGTTTTGTTACCTTGGGATAGGCCTTTGGCGCGGGAGAGGTCGAGGTCGGCAAGGCGCTCCGGGTCGAGCCCGGCGCGTACTTTATCGGGCAGCGGCGACATGAAGCTGCTGCGCAGCGACCTCGCTGAGTCTCTGGACGGATGCTTTGCAGCCGTTGTCGTTGCCTCTTCACGGATACTTTGCCGCGTGGTCTCTGGCGGATGCTTTGTCGTCGTGCGGGTTGTTCGGGCGGATGCTTTGCCGCCGTACTTGTCTCTTCTCGGTGGAAGCTTTGCCACCATGGCTTCATCTCCCCAGCTAACAGTCTTTTGCGTTGTTATCCCCTACAGGTACAGTCCGTTAGGTTGTGGCGGAGGCCCCTCTCCCTACCATGGTTCTTTCTCTTGTGTATTTTGTTCTTAACCACTTTCTCTGTGGTTCGTGTGTTGCTCTATGGGTTTTTTCATAGTCGCATCGTGTAAGCCGTTCTTTCGGCACTCCCACTTTTTCTTAATGAAATACACATTAATGCGTGTTCTCAAAAAAAGCTAGCCATTGTATAGACATATCATCTGTCAGTGGCTGTCGAGGTGTACTACCTCAAAAAAGAGTTTAGGAGACACGTGCTTTGATTAACATAGATAGGCAAAAAGTAAGAAAAATAACCAAAATTATTCCAAGATTTTTAGAGATGGACACATTATTTTAGGAAGCAGCCCACCTTTGAAAACCATATTGACAGCCTCAGAAATTAGGCCCGAAGCCCACCAGCCCATCACAAATCATCGCATATACAAATAAACAACCCTTTAGGGTTTTCATTCCTATTCTCTTAGTCTCTCTCTCCCTCGTCTTTCTCTGTTCACTCGACTACGACAGCGTGGTAGGGGAAGGGTGTGGTGGCGACTCCAAGGCAGCTCCCTAGTTGTGGCCCAAACAAGGGATGAGCGCACAGTGGTGGCTACCCGATGGCACCCCACGATGGCCCAGTCGACGACGGTCTAGCTTGGGGTGGTCAACGGCCTAGCCGAGGCTGTCGAGATCTAAAGTGCCACTTTAGCCTGGCGTGGCTGTAGAGATCTAAAGTTCCATGGCCTGGGTCTACCTTGGGGTGGATCTAGCAATGAAGATCCCTGACACAGGGGTGGGACTCGGAGCGGGCTCGTTGGTGGGCTCAAAAATAGGCTCGACCTAGGGTTCGTAGTTTCTTAATCTATTTCCAAAAACGAACATTATAACTGCCTTTGAAAATCTCAATTAATAGTGATCCTAAAATGGCGGCAGCAAGCCGATGGAAAGTAGCCAGAGTTAGGGGATTGTAAGCAGAGAATATGGATATTATTATGCACGACCAATAGATGCTTTGATTTGGGTAGTCGATATGCCTAGGATTATCACTTCTAATTGTTTATGTTTTTTCACACCTTACCCCCTATGAACCCTCTCCACAAGCGTCTCGTTGTTGAGGGGTATGCCGCCTACCACTAAAAAAACAACGCCGTTAAATCCTAAAATAAATCTATAAAATATAAATACTCATGGCAAGTGGGAGCACTTAAAAACGGGTGGGCAGGTTCCACAACAAGGAACCCAACCAGTTAAACTAAGTCCCCTGAAATCTTGAAGGCCTTTCAGGCGACAAGTGGGGAGGGGGTTTGCAATTGTCGTTTTCCATCGCCTGTAGCCTTAGAGGAAGGTTGCCAGGTAGCAGGCTAGCTAGACAAAGGAGGTAACCGTAAGATCACAATTCGATGGTCAGAAAATGTCACCTAAATTTTGGAATAAAAATAGACGCACCTATTCAGAGGAGCACTAACGCAGGTGTAAGGAAAATAGATCCTAGGCCCATTTACTTTACATTTTGGTGTTTGATGACCAACATAACCAAATTGGACTAATGAATTTGCAAGTGATTGTTTTGTAGTTCAATAGGGTGCAAGACGTGACTTGGACGAAGCTGACATGATGATTCGATGATCAACACCTTAAGCAATACCCTAGAAGCACAACAGAAGATCCAAGATATCAAGCAAAGTCCAAGCACGAAGAATGGAACCAAGCCGGACGTAAGATCGTGAAGAAACGAGCTCGGCATAGGTGACCGGACGCAGTAGACTAGATGACCGGACGCACGAAGTGCAGCGTCCGATCGAGTCCAGAGAGGTTTCAGAGCAGTGCCAGCGCGACCGGACACGTCCGGTCGATGATGACCAGACTCTGAGCCGAGTCCGATCAACGCGCACTCTCCAACGGTCGGGACGACCAGACACGTTCGGTCAGGACGTGATCAGCGTCCGGTCAGTAGCAGAAAGTTGGGTTTCATCCTCAACGGCTACTTTCTCAGTGGGGCTTATAAATAGACCCCCAACCAGCCATTTGAACATAGTGGAGCTAAGAAAACATACCAAGGGTATTAATACACCATTTTAGTGATCTCCACTTGCATAGTGCTTAGTGACTCATTAGGTGATTAGCGTAGGTGCTTTGCGAGGTGCTTAGGTTGATTAGACCACCGCTTATGCGCTTGCTCTAGGTTTAGACCTAGTGTTTAGTGAGGTTTGCATACCTCTTACCACTCGATGCTTGTGTGCACCATTATTATACATCGGAGGAGCTTGTAGTCTTGCGAGATCACACCAACCGCGTTTGTGGTGTGGCCATTACCGTGTACCGGAGGGAATAAGGCCCGCGGTGTTTCGGCCGGAAGCTTGATAGTGAAGACGGCGGGGAGCGGTCCAGGACAGGCTTGCCGGAAGGCACACCGGAGACCCACTTACGCATGGGGAAGGCCTGGGGCTATCCACGGAGTTATCCGACTAGGAGCTTGGCCCTTTAAAAGCTCTAGTTTGGTTTTGGTTAATTGATGAAACCCTAAGTGCTAACATAGTTTATCATGTGATCATGAGATAGGTGGCACACTCCAAGTGGTGAAGCAAATGAAGATCATAACATGATGATGATGATGGCATGGTGATGATCAAGTGCTTCAACTTGGAAAGAAAAAAGAGAAAAACAAAAAGCTCAAGGCAAATGTATAATTTATAGGAGCCATTTTGTTTTGGTGATCGAGACACTTAGTGACTGTGACCACATTTAGGTTTGATAGCCGTACTATTAAGAGGGGTGAAACTTGAATCGGAATGCGGTTATCATAGTGCCACTAGATGCTCTAACTCATTGCATATGCATTTAGGATCTAGTGGGGTGCTAACACCCTTGAAAATGTTTGTGAAAATATGCTAACACATGTGCATAAGGTGATACACTTGGTGGTTGGCACATTTGAGCAAGGGTGAAAAAGATAGACGTGAAGAGGAGTTGGTCTCGCTGGTCACAAAGTGACCGGACGCTGGTCTCAGTGGAACTAGCGTGTCCGGTCAGTTGTAACAGCGAAGACGCTGGTGTCGGTCAAACGATCGGACGCTGGGTCGCTCAGCGACCGGACGCTGGAAGGCTCTGTCTGGTCGTGTTGACCAACAGCGCAGTGTGAAGTCAACAAGTGATCGGACGCTGGCTGTGTCCGGTCAAGCATGACCGGACGGATCCGGTCGTGAAATATCGTTTCTGGAACCTTACTAGAAACGACCGGACGCTGGAGGCTGAGCGTTCGGTCAGTTTGTGCGTTGTGTCCGGTCAACAGATGATCGTTAAAATCTGATGAACAGTATTTGAAGCAGGGGACATGTGGCTTGTATCACGGGACCGGACGCTGAGGGCCAGCGTCCGGTCGATCCGACCGGAGCGTCCGGTCACCCCGTGTTTTAACCAGTGAAGGGGTACAACGGCTCTATTTCGTGGGGGCTTCTATTTAAGCCCCATGGCCGGCTCAAGCTCAGCCTCTTAGCCATTTGGATTGACATAGCAACCTTATGAGCTTAGCCAAAGCCCTTCCACTCATCTCCATTATTGATTCATCATCTTTGTGAGATTGGGAGAGAATCCAAGTGCATTGCTTGAGTGTTTGCATCTAGAGGCACTTGGTGTTTGTGTTTCACTGCGGGATTCGCTTGTTACTCTTGGTGGTTGCCGCCACCTAGATGGCTTGGAGCAGCGAGGATCGTTGAGCGGAGGGTGGTGATTGTCTTCGGCTCCGATCGTGGTGATTGTGAGGGGTTCTTGACCTTTCCCCAGCGGGGTGCCAAAAGGTACTTTAGTAGATTGCTCGTGGCTTGTGTGATCCTCATCTTATGTTGGTTGTGCGGCACCCTTTTGAGGGTTTGGCGTGTGAAGCCAATTAGCGCGTGAACCTCCAAGTGAGTGAATCGCCACAACGAGGACTAGCTTGCCGGCAAGCAAGTGAACCTCGGTAAAAATCATTGTGTTCATCATTGATTCTGAGGTGATTGGTCTTCATTGTTATTCATCCTTATGTTTGATTGGTTCCTTTATCTACACGGCGGTATAACTTTCTTGATCACTTTCTTTACATTATCGCAAACTAGTTGTCAAGCTCTTTAGTGTAGCTAGTTGTGAGAGCTTGCTTGCTTGGTTGGTGTAGCTCTTTAGTTAGTCTTTGAGAGTACACTAACATAGAGAAATGTCATAGCTATTATGTGAATAGATACTATCTAAACTAGAATTGTGGTAGGTGGCTTGCATTTTGAATAGATACTATCTAAACTAGAAGTGTCCAAGCACGAAAAATGAAACCAAGCCGTACGTAAGATCGCGAAGAAATGAGCTCAACAGAGGTGAGCTGACGCGGCCCTAATAAGGACTAGACACGTCCGATCAGGTGCTCGGCAACACCAGGCATCGGCAGCAGTGACCGAACGCTGAATGAAGCAGTGACCGGACGCACCGGTGATATTGTTCGTCGTCACGACAGTGTTTTCAGCGTGACTAGACGCAGCAGACTAGACGACCGGACACACAAAGTGTAGCATTGGATCGAGTCCATAGAGGTTCCAGAGCGGCGCCAGCGCGACCAGATGTGTCCAGTCGATGATGACCGGGCTCTGAGCTGAGTCCGATCAACGCACACGCTCCAACAGTCGGGACGATCGGACGCATCCGATCAGGACGTGATCAGCGTCCGGTCAGTAGCAGAAATGTGGGTTTCGTCCCCAACGGCTACTTTCTCAGTGAGGCTTATAAATAGACCCCCAACCGACCATTTGGA